CAGGACCAGATGGATTCACAGCAGAATTCTATAAGACCTTTAAAGAAGAACTAATACCCATACTCCTCAAGCTCTTCAGAGAAACAGAGAAGGAGGGAGCTATCCCAAACTCATTCTACGAAGCCAGTATCACACTCATCCCCAAACCAGGCAAAGACCCAACCAAAAAGGAGAATTACAGGCCAATCTCCTTGATGAACACAGATGCAAAGATCCTTAACAAGATTCTAGCTAACAGAATCCAGAAACACATAAAAAAAATAATACACTATGATCAGGTAGGCTTCATCCCAGAGACACAGGGATGGTTTAACATACGTAAGTCAATAAATGTAATCCAGCATATCAACAGAGCCAAGGTCAAGAATCACATGATTATCGCCACAGATGCAGAAAAGGCCTTTGATAAAATTCAACATTCATTCATGCTAAAAGCTCTGGAGAAAATAGGAATAGAAGGAACATTTCTAAAAACAATAAAAGCCATTTATGACAGACCAATAGCCAATATTATACTTAATGGGGAAAAGCTACAACCAATCCTCCTAAAAACAGGAACAAGGCAAGGATGTCCACTGTCTCCACTCCTCTTCAACATAGTCCTAGAACCCTTAGCCAGGGCAATAAGGCAAGAAAAAGACATTAAAGGGATCCGCATAGGGAAAGAAGAAGTGAAACTATCCCTTTTTGCAGACGACATGATACTATACCTCCACGATCCCAAAAACTCCATCCCCAAACTTTTAGAAATCATAAGTCACTTCGGCAAAATAGCAGGATACAAAATAAACCCACAAAAATCAGTTGCCTTCCTATACACTGATAACGCACAGGAAGAGAGGGAAATAAAGGGAGCAACCCCATTCACAATAACCTCCCAAAAAATAAAATATTTAGGAATTAACCTAACCAAAGATGTAAAAGAACTATTTAATGAGAACTATAAAAAGTTAAAGAAAGAAATTGCAGAAGACACTAGGAAATGGAAAGACCTCCCATGCTCCTGGATAGGCCGACTTAATATAGTAAAGATGGTGATACTTCCAAAACTAATATACAAATTCAATGCAATTCCTATTAAAATCCCAATGATGTACATCACTGAAATACAGAAAACAGTCCAAAAATTTATATGGAACAACAAAAGACCTAGAATAGCCAAAACAATTCTAGGGGATAAAGACAATATGGGAGGGCTATCCATGCCGAACTTCAAACTCTACTACAGAGCTATAATCACAAAGACAGCATGGTACTGGCACAAAAACAGACCCGAAGACCAATGGAACAGAATAGAAGATCCAGATATAAATCCACAGGCCTACAGCCAGCTGATATTCGACAAAGGAGCCAAAGACATACAATGGAAGAAACACAGCCTCTTCAACCGCTGGTGCTGGGAAAACTGGGCAGCCACATGCAGAAAACTAAAAGTGGACCCCAGCCTATCACCATGCACCAACATCAACTCAAAATGGATTAAAGACCTTAACATTAAACCTGAATCTCTGAAACTACTGCAGGACAGAGTAGGAGAGACACTTGAACTAATAGGCACAGGAAGGAACTTCCTGAACAGAGTCCCAGGGTCACAACAAGTTGGAGAGAGACTCGACAAATGGGACTACCTTAAAATAAAAAGCTTCTGCACAGCTAAATCTATCGCAACTAAGCTAGAAAGACAATCAACTAATTGGGAAAAAATATTTACCAGCAATATATCAGACAAGGGGTTAACATCCTGTATATACAGGGAACTCAAGAAACTAATCCCTCCCAAACCTAACAAACCAATTACTAAATGGGCAAGGGAACTAAAGAGGGACTTCTCAAATGAAGAAATAAAAATGGCAAAGAAACACATGAGGAAATGTTCATCATCCCTGGTGGTGAAGGAAATGCAAATAAAGACAACCCTGAGATACCACCTTACCCCAGTCAGAATGTCCCACATCCACAAATCAGCCAACGACAAATGCTGGAGGGGATGTGGAGAAAGAGGAACCCTATTACACTGCTGGTGGGAATGTACACTTATACAACCACTTTGGAAAGCAGTCTGGAGGGTCCTTAGAAAGCTAAAGATTGACCTCCCTTACGACCCAGTCATACCACTTCTAGGCATCTACCCTGAACAACAGGAACCAATATACAAGGACACGTGCACCTCCATGTTTATTGCAGCACTGTTCGCAATAGCTAGGATATGGAAACAACCTAGGTGCCCCACCACAGATGAATGGATCCAAAAATTGTGGTATCTATACACAATGGAATATTATGCAGCCATTAGAAATGACAAAATAATGGCATTTGCAGGGAAATGGATGGAGCTAGAAGGAATCATGTTGAGCGAGGTAAGCCAAGAACGAAGAGACAAACGGTACATGGTCTCCCTCATAAGTGGATGCTAAATCCAAAAGGTTAGGTGATACGACAAAACTAACAGGACTTAAGAAACAAAGAACTCCCGCTCATCTGGTTGAACCACTACTAAATATCCTCATGCTGCTGATCACAAATATGGTATATAACATGTGAACACTGTTATATATTACAGACTGTGGTAGACAATTTGCTCCAGGGAAGTTAGAATGAACTTGTGACTTTGAAATTATGTAATCATTTAATCACAATCAAAAAAAAAAAAAAGAACCTCGGGGAAGGGAGGGAGGGAGGGGATGGTAGGGGGAAAACAATGGAGGGGGGTAACAATGTTCAAGAGGAAGTGTACTCATAACCTCACTCATGTAACTGTAACCCTCTGTATAGTAGCTTTACAATAAAAAAAAAAAATACTATTTTTCAAAATTATCCTAACATTCCATTTTACTTTATTCCTTGATCCAGTTGAAGTATTAATATGTCACTATGTAATGCTGCAAATATTAAAAGTTTTAGACAATATATTATAATGAAGACTTTTATAAGAGTTCATCATTTATAAAACATAAAAAATAAAAATTTAAAGATCAGTCACATTTGATCTGTCTTCTGGATTTTTATAGTACACAGTCTATATCATTATAACAATTGTTATATTTATTTATAGTAACATTCTTCAGTGACATACTCTTTCTTCTTAACTACTGTGTTTTCAACTGCTAAGATGCTTTGGTATTTACCAAACAATTGAGAAATGTTTTACAAATAACTTAATAATAATTAAGTACCCAAGTCTGTAAAAAATATATAGTACTTTCTTCAATTTTAGGTACACAAGGAACTTATTCCCAAACCGCCACCAACTTTCCATTTCTTTTGTTTCCTTTTCTTTTCTTTCTTTTTTGGGGGTAATGTTACTAGAGATTGAACTCATATCCTCATATTTTCTAGGTAAGTGTGCTACCATTTAAGATATACTCTCAGCTTCTTTTGTTTTTTAGTTATTTGGGATATAGAGTTTCAATGTTTATAAACAGATAGGCTTGAATCTCACTCCTCCTGTTTATGTTTCCTGTGGAGCTGAGACCAGATGTGTGCGCCAACCAAACCAAACTTGTTTGTTGAGGATGGAGATCTCGCTAAGTTTTTGCTCTGGTGGGACTTGAATTCAAGTGTTCCACATTTCTACTTCCCAAGAAGCTGGGGTTATAGGTATAAGCTACTACACCCAGCCAGTTCCCACCTCCTACTTTAATGTTCTTTGACAGATCCACACAATTTCTGTATTTCTATTTTCTTAATAATGTTGGGGAAAACCTTTTCCTGTTCCCCTTTCTTCTTTTTAGCTCTTCCTCATAGTAGGAAAGACTTATCTAACTAGAAAGGCTAGGGAAAGCAGCAGTGAGCATGCCTGACAGGAATTCTTCTCCAGTTCAGTCCACAGCCTGTTCTTCAGTTGTCCGTCCACCTGTATGCCTTTGAGTGGTGAATGGAATAAGTATAAGAAAAGCCTCAAAGCGGCGCTGTAGCTCAAGTGGTAGAGTGCTCGCTTTGAGCTGAAGAGCTGAGGGACAGCGCTCAAGCCCAGAGTTCAAGTCCCACGACCAAAAAATAAATAAAACAAAATAAGAAAAAGCCTCATTAGCTGACTAGTCATAAGCTAATATTTCAATTCCCATAACACCTCAACATCCAAACTTAAATTATATAGTAATGTAGAGAAGGAAAAATCAGTTTATTACTCCCAAGATAAAGATTATAGCAGATTTAAGATTATCTCTTCAATAATGTAACTCTCATTTTGAGAAGGAAAAAAGGGAGTTGAGCATTAGACTGGATACTATGGTGACAAGATCCTATATTTAGGTCATTACCACTTACAGTGCTGTACTTTACCTCAAGTGAATGCATCTTTATCTTCCCAATGAGAAAAGCGTTCCCTGAACATGCACTTCAAGTCTTACTGAATAGTGTCTTTAAGTAACAAATTAAATAGTTTAAGGCAATTTTATACACTAACTAAAGCTTCCCTTGACATCTCCAAAAGTTGTAGAAAATCATGGAATTTAGGATGTCAAATAGAACCTTTTCAGATATGTTTCAGGAGCACATATTTGAGACTCTTCTTCAAACTAAGTATTCATTCCATATACCTGTATAGAACTTATAGAAATATGTAAAAATATGAATAGATGTTTGCTTTGGGCTTGGCTTGTAAACTCTGTTTTTTCCCCTGCATTACTATGGATTTGTTTTCTTTTTCTTTTTCGCCATCTAAAAAACTGAAAGCACAATCGAAATCACAATTATATTCATGTGTCATTGATAGCAGTCCCACAAAACAAATTTGCATTAAAGCAATTCATTAGACTCTATAAACACTCTATCTGTATTCATCAGGAATTATACACATAATAAGTCCAACCTCACACAGCATTCAGGATCATTTATGTGGTGTTATTTTTCCCTTTTGTTAATTGCCATGAGGCTACTTATTGGTATCAGTTTCTGGTTAGGGGAAAAAGCTCATTGGTAAATGGAATCTATAACATTGCTGCAATAATATTTATTTAAAGAGATTCTGAATAAAAAATTATAATTTAAAGCCAACTTACCAAGACATGAGTACAAACCCTGACTTATCCAAGCTAAGATGGCAAGAGTTATAAGGTCTCCAAAACTAGCAGCAATGGGTGTAGCAACATTATCCGGATTGATACCAGTCTTCTTTGAGCCAACGATAACTCCAACCATTATTATCCCTAAAAGAAATATGGTTTATTACTTTTAATGTTATGATTCAGAAAATCACTCCCCCAAAAAGTGAAATACATAGACTAAACAAAATAGCACGTCAATTCTAGTTATTCAGCTCAGAGAAGCTGATTAAGCAAACAGAACACTTTTTACTGTAATGCTTTGGCAAGATGCCCTTCCACAAAGTCCAGGTAAGAAAATGGAAGATTTGAGAAGTTCAGTGTTTCATGTATAATGTAAAAGCTACTATAAAATTACATTAAAACTAAAATTTTGAATTTAGCATATACATACTACATTAGATGCAAAGTATGAATGTATCAAGCTCAAAGATTTAAATTTTAACCTTCAGGTAAGGCATAAAAATATCAATGTAGGGGGGAGAGGGGAGGCTGGGAAGGGAGGTGAAGGATAAACAAAGGAGGAGGCTGCAATGCTTGGTAAGAAATGTATGCATTATCCTGCCCATGTAATTGTAACCCCTCTGTACAGTATGTTCTCAAATAAAATTAAATTAAATTAAAAAAATCAAAAAAAAATATCAGTGTAAGGTGAGTTATATTTATGTGCATAGTAACTGAGAAGACCAATAAAAATGTACTTGTTCACATGTGGTATAGAAATTCTTGCTTTAAGGAGGCCCTGGGTTCGATTCTTCAGCACCACGTAAGCAGGAAAAAAAAAAGTCGGAAGTGGCACTATGGCACAAGTGGTAGAGTGCTAACCTTGAGCTGAAGAGCTGAGGGACAGAGCCCAGGCCCAGAGTTCAGGCCCCATGACCAGACCCAAAAAAAAAAAAAAAAGAAAGAAATTCTTGCTTTATTTTTAAGGTGTTAAAGTATTAAGAAACAAGAAGTAACTAAATTTTGAGCACTAGAGTCCTGAACACAACAAATAGTCTTTGTGAAAGATAGTCTTTCAACCTACAATTTTCAGTCTATAAATCTGCAAGAGAAGAGAAAAATGTAATTATGTACTTAAGCTTTTGGATCCTTAATTTTTTGAGTCATACAAATAGGAGAAAATGATAATATCTACAGTCATTTTTGATATTTAATTTTTTGAATCAAATAGGAGAAAATGATAATATCTACAGTCAAACTCATAGTTAGCACATTAAAAAATTTAAATGTTTAATTCATATGCTAACTATAAGTCAACAAAATATACCTGTGAAAAAGGTCACCAGACTTTGAGAAGAAAAATTACCGTAAATTTTTTATCCCAGCATACTCAGTTTATGGATAATAAAACAGATCTTGGGGAGTAGGGTTTGAATTCTTGCTTAAAGTCACACAGTTTGTCACTCTAGACCAGTGTATTATGTTTGGTTTGGTTTTGTCCACTCTAACCAACAAAGCCAAATCTGTAAAAGATTAATTTTTCTGTTACATCAAATAATGTCCTCACATCTTGTATTCTGGAAAGTTTTTATCATTTGGCTTACTTTATTCATAGTACCATTAAAACAGAGGGGAGGGCTGGGAAGGTGGCTTAGTGATAGAGTGCTTGCCTTGCATGCATGAGGCCCTGGGTTCAATTCCTCAGCACCACATAAGCAAAAAAAAACCCGGAAGTGGTGCTGTGGCTCAAGTGTTAGAGCACTAGCCTTGAGCTGAAGAGCTGAGGGACAGTGCCCAGGCCCAGAGTTCAAGCCCCACGACCAACAAAAATAAATAAATAAATAAGACAAAGGGGAAAAAAGAAGCTAGAATGGCAGAAAAGTTTTTTAAATTCCAACAGTAATCCAACAAAATATAATTATAGAGAAATGTTATTCTCCAAATGAGTACATTTAAAGATTTATGTAGAGCTAGGTGTCAGTGGTTCACACCTGTACTTCTAGATACTCAGACAATGAAATCCAGAGGATCACGGTTTGAAGCCAGTCTAGTTAGAAAAGTTCACTAGACAATGTCTCCACTTAACAAGCAAAGAGCAGGGCTGGAAGCATAGCACCAATGATAGAGCAGCAGACAAGGAAATACCCTGAGTTTAACCCCAGTAGCAGGACCCATATAGGATGTATTCAGCTTTGCAAGGATCAAGGTCTGTTAGAAAAAGCTGTATGGGAGGAGACTTGGATTTTAGTTCTGAATCTGCTACAAACAAGCTGATGAAATTGGATATATCATCTTACTTGTTTGCATCAGTTGTCTCAGCTACAAAGCGAACATAAATTAAGATCAAGTTATCATAAAACTAGAATACACATTACTTAAAGTATGAAACTTTGGGGGCTGGGAAGGTGGCTCAGTGGTAGAGTGCTTGCCTTGCATGCCTGAGGCCCTGGGTTCGATTCCTCAGCACCACATAAGCAAAAAAAAAAAAAATTGCACAAAAGTATGAAACTTTGTCACAAATATGATATTAAGAGAAGTAAGCCTGACCAAAGAAACATAGGATGCATGATTTCCCTCATTTGTAATAATTAGAAGGTCACTATAAGGTACCAGGTAGCTGATGCCTATAATCCTAGCTACTCAGGAGGCTGAGGAAAAAGAGAGGGGGGGGGGGAGAGGGAGAGGGAGGGAAGGAGGGACAGAGGGAGGGAAAAAAGGAGGGAGGGAGGGAGGGAGGAAGGGAGGAAGGAAGGAAGGAAGGAAGGAAGGCAGGAAGGAAGATAGTCAAGTGTGGCAGCTTACATCTCTTAGCATTTAGGAGTCTTAAGGTAGAAACAGTGAGCTCAAGGCCAGCCTGGGTTTCATATTGAGCCCTGACCCAAAAAAAGAAACAGTTTTGGGAGAAGAGGAATAATCTAGCTGATAAGTTCATACAGGGGAGTGAGGAATAACCTAGCTGAGAAGTTCTAATGCAAACAGTTTTTTAAGCTTCTATTCTTTATCATTATAGCCAACAATATGCTATATTTGTAATGCCACAGAAACAAGGAAGGTATTTAACTGGTTTGATTTGAGGAAGGTTATGGTTTATTTGTTCATTAAGACTTGAGACTTTAGGGGCTAGGAAGGTGGTTCAGTGGTAGAGTGCTTGCCTTGCATGCATGAGGCCCTGGGTTTGATTCCCCAGCACCACATAAGCAGAAAAAAACCAGAAGTGGTGCTGTGACTCACGTATGTTAGAGCACTAGCCTTGAGCTGAAGAGCTGAGGAACAGTGCCCAGACCTCGAATTCAGGCCTCACGACTGGCAAAAAAAAAAAAAAAAAATCTGAAATAATAATAAAAAATTTAAAAAATTTTAAAAAATAACAAAAAATCTGAAAACTTGAGACTTTAAAATTGTTTCATAGAGAGATATTATTATTATTACACTTAGTACTCAAGTGACAAGCCAATAAGTACCCTACATGATTTCCAGGAAGAAGGGTCTGAAGGAATTTAACTTACAGTGACAAATTCCCTGATCTTATTTGGAAACTATACTTGAGTGCCTAAAGCCAGAAGCCAGTCTCAAAAAGCCTGTTTCCAGCAAGTTTTATAAATAATAAAATGAAAATGTATCTGAAATACGATTTGAAAGTTTGCAATAGCATTTTTTCCTGCCATTTTGGTCAGGAAGAAGTACCATTTAAATAGAAGTAATCATCATGTAGGGAGATCAGCCGTGAGGCATTTATTTGCTCACCCTGCAGAAGGGATGCAATGAAGGCGGTCGCCACGCTGCTGGAGCACAGAAGGATGGAGTGACTGAGGTAGTATTTCCCCTCTGGAATCCAGCCCAACACAATCGCTGCCACTGCTGCTAGGAACCCAACCACTGTTGCCTGAACCTGAAAATATTTTGACAAAATCCAAACCAATTAGTAATCTTTAAAACATATTATGCAAGCATTACATACAAGAAGTCAGGAAAAAGTACATATAGTAACTGCGTTGCATCACCCTTTTAAGAAGCTATATTTGAGGTTTAACATTACTTCAGACAGCCGACTCCCAAACTGTCCTGATTTGCTGCCGGCAAGTATGGGAAAAGATCTAGTAATATTATTTTAGTAAATACCCAACACTTCTTGTTCACAATTTTAGTAGGTAACTTCTCTGGAAGAGACTAACCTTTTCCCTGCTCCACCCACCCCTCCACCTTCTCTCCTTGCTTTTGTCCACTGGTAATGGCTCCAACCAATTACCACCTCACCAGCAGGCACCAGTGATGTCTTGAGGTTGCTGCTTGGGGCTCCCAGTTTTTATATACTCTTGTGGGAGTGAGGCAGACACAGGCACTCGACTGCAGCAGCTAGGACCAGCAAATCCCTCTCTTGTGATCATGCAGACCAACAAGGATGAGAGTATAACCAGGTAAGGGGGGGGTGCTAGGACTATTAGAAGCTGAGATGTAAATTGCTAGAATAATTTGATGGACATTTTTATACTTACAACATAGTTTTAACTATGAGTTACAATTCTCATTAAAGAGTTGAAGGTAGTTAAAGAATACAATTAAATATATTTTCAAAAATTGTATGTATCATATATAGTACTCTAGTGGGAGGAAGATTTGTCTGGTTTTAGTCTTGTCTTCTTTTGGTTTTGTGTGGTGGTGGGTATTGAACTCAGGACTATTTGCACCCTAGGCAAGTACTCTACCACTGAGCTACATCCCTAATTCAGTTATCAGATGTTTTGATGATCACCTCTACATATGTTCAAAAAAGTTTAAACTAAAAGGATACTAAGTCTTCTTTAAAATGATACTATGACCTAAAAGATGAAAATAAAGCCCAAAAAGGTCATGTAAACTGGTACAAGTTATAGAGGTGGTAATGTTGGAGCAGAGATTAGATCCTAGCCCTTGTTATTTCCAACCCCGCAATCTTAAAATCATTTGCATGGATGTATCTTTGAAATGCATTATATGATGGTATATTCCTACAACTATCTCTCAGTTTAATATCTATCTAACTTTCCCTAAGCTTATTAGGTAGGTGAGCTCTGAGGGTAGCAGCAGTGTTGAGCTTAGAGCTGGGAGAGTATGGAGGAGGGCTGAAGAGATATTCACCTGAGATCCTGAGACTAGAAAGTGACACTGATTATATAAAATTCATGGCTGGGTTCATATGTAATCAGTAACTGAATGTATTCATTTACATTAACATTAATAACTTAACAATTAAGGAAAAACAAATGGCTGGCCAAAATATATCAACCGAGCTCAGTTTAACTAAACCATATATTTAAAAAAAAAATAAGTGGGACATAGCAGTGCATTCCTATAGTTCTAGACTTGGAAGGCTTAGGCAGGAGGACCACTTAAGTCCACCTCTGTTTTAAAATAAAAAAAATCATAAAAGTAATAAGATAGCACCTAAACAAAAAGATGTTAAACAGTTGTTTGTATAAATATTAACAACAATTCTGGGTTATGTTATAGTTATGAAGCTTTGTATATATTTTTCTATATTATAGAGTGTATTTTTTCATGTTTGGAAGAATGTGACCAGTTTCTAGAAATATGGTAACTTTCCGAGGTCAGATGTATCCATTGATATCATCATTTTTTTTTTCAGTTGGTTGTGGGGCTTGCTCCAGGGCCTGGAGATGTCCCTAACCTCTTTTGCTCTACCACTATAAACCACAGTGCCACTTCTGGTTTTTGAGTGGCTAATTGGAGATAAGAGTCTCATAGGGGGGCTGGGAAGGTGGCTCAGTGGTAGAACGCTTGCCTTGCATGCATGAGGCCTTGGGATCGATTCCTCAGCACCACATAAGCAGGAAAAAAAAAGCCGGAAGTGGCGCTGTGGCTCAAGTGGCAGAGTGCTAGCCTTCAGCTGAAGAGCTGAGGGACAGCGCCCAGGCCCAGAGCTCAGGCCCCACGACTGGACCCCCCCCCCCAAAAAAAAAAGAGTCTCATAGGAACTTTTCTACCTGGGTAGGCTTTGAACTGTGATCTTCAGATCTCAGTCTCCTAAGAAGCTAGGACTATAGGCATGAGCCACTAGCACCCAGCTGATATTATCACTTTTTAAGGTATTAAATCATTATTTTCGTGTCTCTTAAAATAAGTAAATGGTAAACTTCATAGCACTAAAATTTACTCCATTCCCAGAGGAAGTACTAAGACCTATAAAGAAATACTGCATTTCTTACCTGCTTTAATGCCAAATTGCCAATTATTAGGTTCCACTTTTCAATTGGTGAGTCCATTTTCCCAATGTTTACCTGTGAAAGAGGGTATTTCCATGAATCTAGTAATCTATATTCTATCTGCTCTTTTTAAATAGGCTATGAAGTTTTAAAGTATAAAATGAGTCTTCAGTAAATCTGACAAGTGAAAATTATACTTTGAATATAATTCCTACTTTATTACCAGATTGGCATCTAATATTGAGCATGACTTTAATAGCTTTCAGGAACTAGTGGATCTGTTACCATTACCCTTATGTATGCTGAGCTGTTTTAGAACTAACATCATCAGCTATGATCCTAACATGCCAAATTTGTGTACTGAGGCCCAGTAAAAGTGATTATATAATCTTGAGCTGCTGGCACTTAATTCCATGCTATAAAATAACTAATGTAATTTGAAAAATTATTGACCAGAAAACAAGATAGAAACCAATCAGTCATTTGTACATAAATTATATTTGAATCATGACTAAAATTGTTAGCAACTAAAATACATTCAGTTCACAAATAAATTTTGATCATGTACCTCATCTATTAAATACACATTTCCACTAAAGTGAAGAATATTCTCCAAAATGAGGCTATTATTAGTCACATAATCAGTTGCTCTATGAACAACATCATATTTCTCAACTACTTTAGGATTCAAAAAGTATACATCTAAATCTGCCAAGTGTTTCTAATGCAGCCACTTGGAAAGCAATAAATGTTCATTAGTAAAAACTTTATACTGAGTTGGATTTCAATTATTCATCTATTTTACTATGGAGGATTTTCAAATGTTAGGGGGAAAAAAGCTTATAAATGAATGGGTAAAGAAGCAGATAGATAAGAATTATTATTTCTGAGTAGTTTTTTTTTTTTTTTCCATGAGCACACTATTCAATCAAGCAGGGTAAGTGGTGTGTCAACCTTTTCTCTGTCAACTTGGAAAAAAGATTCTGTTCTGCAGTCTCCAAAAAAGTATCCAATAAATGCAAATTGTGAGATTCCTCACTATCTCAAAGTAATTGTTTGTGCAGTCTTATTTATATATTTATTTTCTAAGCCTGAAAATAAATTATTGTAGCTCTAATAGCCTGGGGCTCTGCTCAAGTGAGTGATAAAGTATAAGAAATATTTGAAAACTGAACCTGCTTTAGGTTTAGAACTTAAGCAGGCACAGGAAAATTAGTGTTATTTTAAAATAACTCTTAGGAAGATGTCTATAGCTGTAGGAAACAATCTAAGATGATTCAATAAACCACTACATAAAGTATAAGAAGTCAACACTGCTGGGTGTTGGTGGCTCACACCTGTAATCCTAGCTACTCAGGAGGCTGAGATCTGATTATTACAGTTCAAAGCCAGACCAGGCAGGAAAGTCTGTGAGACTCTTATCACCAATCAACCACCAGAAAACCGGAAGTGGCACTATGGCTCAGTGGGAGAGCACTAGCCTTGAGCTGAAGAGCTGAGGGACAGCGCCCCAGGGTCAGAGTTCAAGCCCCACACCACCAACAACAACAACAAAAAAAGAAGTCAACACTCCAGAATTGCTCATGAGCAAACAGGGGTCTAGGAAGAACTCAAGGAAGGTGGGGTGGCAGAAGGAGTGAATGGTATGACATAGGGATGCTGCTGTGCCAGAATCCACTTGGTACCATCACCTCTAGCCTTTTCTAAGGCCTGGTGCTATATTCCTCAAAAGTCTGCCTCTCCAGCTAGAGGCTGCAGTCTGTCAGTGACAGAAATTTTCTTAAAAATTGGAGGACATAGATAGCAGAACTCATTGCTTGTTATAGGAAGTCAGACAGGACAGGCCTCTAGCCTCTGCTAGAGGTATACCATGTTAGGCCTCAAGCCCTGTTCCAGTGCTTCAGGTCATTTGTCTGATTCTCCAGCCACTGGTCTTGTCTTCTGCAACATCCCTCCATCTGCGTAAGCTTCATTTCCTCTACTTAATTCCATACAGTTGCAGCACATACTATGGCTCTGTTTTCTGAGCTAAACCAGACTGGCAGTATAACTTTCAACTGTTAAACCTAACTGTACTATAAATGAAGATCACATTCTCTATGTCCCTTCCATATGTAGAAGTCTCTGAATGAGCAACCTTTTAACCTAACAAAATGATTTCAAATTAAAACAATGTATAATGCAAAAGAATTTTAGGATCCAATTAAAATGTAATAATAAAGAGAAATTGACCTAAATTTTGGGGAGAGAACAAGTATTATACATTGTGCATTGAGATCGGAGTGGAGTTATGGCAACTTTTGCCTCCTGTTGTGTAAAACCTGTGCCACCTACTCTATGTCTGGTAATTTAGGATGATATGAACTCATTAGGTGTTTTCAGAATTGGAGAGGGAGAAGCATCACTACTTTTGATGTTCTATTTTTATACAATTAGTTGACCTAATGGTGCTTAGCCAGAGACACCAAGCCATTGTAAAATGATAAGATAGAAGAGGGCATGATCTGATGAAGACTTCTGTGAAGCTTGCAATAATTTAAATTAATATTAAAGTAGTAGAAAGAGGCCAATAGGTTGCAGAGACACCATGAATTTGCTCATTAAAATATTTATATAACTCTGAACATATTTTCCTTTAGTTCTTTGAACATACTTATACCAGTTGCTTAGAATGACTGTTAAACTCAACATCAGGCCCACTGGAAGTCCCTTCTCATTGGCTAGATATGATTCATGATTTTTGGTGATACTTCTTTGTTTCTTTCCATGTCTAATGTTTGTTACAAACTGACAGTGTCAATAACATGCTGTAGTGACTCTGGATACTGTCAATGTTCTTCCCCAAATTCTGAATATTCCTTCTAGCAGGCCATAGACTCTTCTTCACTCAATGAGATTCTCTTCCACAATGCAGAACAGCTCAGCTCCCCACCTGGTTCTTCTGGCTAGCAATTCTTGATTTTTAACCTAGCCCTTTGGGGCTATCTTTTGCATCAATGGAGAATTCTGCAGCTGAGAATCTATGTTCAGATTGGTGGGTTCATTCTCATGAGAGTCTCCCATAAACTTCTACCTGCTATGTTAGCTCCAAATTCTGCCATCTGAAATTTTAATAGTAAAATTTCATCTTTCTGCTACTGTAGATATGCACAGGTCGCACAGGAACTCATGTCAAAAAAGGGAACAAACATACAAATCTGAGCCAGCTAACTTCAGTCTTTCAAGTATATAAGTTTCTTTTCATACTCAGTTTACTATCATTCTTCTTTCATGTCAAAAAAGGGAACAAACATACAAATCTGAGCCAGCACTTTAGTCTTTCAAGTGTATAAGCTTCTTTTCATACTTGGCTTACTATTATTACCATGACTTGTTTCCACAATGGTGAATCCTAAAGGATGGTGATATAATGATGCCCTTCTGCATTTCTAAAACAAACTCAGAACACTGACAAAGTCAGTATTTTTAAACATGTTAAACTCTTGAACCTTTTGAGTGAGAGCTTTATGTAGCTAAAGATTTAAAAGTATAGATCCTATAATATATTCTAAATAAATAAAAAAGTATTTACAAGAATATTCATCATAAGCTAGGTGCAATGCTTGCACTCCTAGATACTTGGGAGGCTGAGACTGAAAGGATCTAGTTTGAGGCAATCAAAAGCTGGGTTCAGTGGTATATGCCTGTCATCCTACCTTTACGGAAGGCTAAGGTCAACTACAGTCAGGATGATTGTAGTTGCAGACCAGCCCAGGCCAAAAAAGAAGTTCACAACACTCTGTCTTAATGGAAGAAGCTGAGCATGTAGCTCATGCCTGGTATCTCAACTATAGCAGGGTAAGTAAAATAGAAGGACTGAAATAAAGGCATGTATCTAGGCAAAATAGAGACCCTATTTCAAAATAACAAGTATGTAAAAGGGCTAAAGGTGTGGCTCAGAATAGAGTACCTACTAGCAAGTGAGAGGCCATGAGTTCAAAATCTAGTACCGCCACCAAAAATAATAAATATATATCACATTATTGTTTGTAATAGCAAAACATTAGGGGAGAGAGAGAGAGACAGAGAGAGACAGAGAGAGACAGAGAGAGAGAGAGAGAGAGATTCAGTAATAGATAATGAATTAAAGAGGGTACTGTTATATGATATAAAAGTGCATGGCCAAAAAAAATGACATGGACCTACATTTATTGATACAGAAATGCAATCATGATATATTTGGAAGTCAGAATTACACATAATAAAAAAAGAAAATGTAGGATTCCAGTTCTTTTAGGGTACATAGTATGCATATGCATTATGACATTCTAGCTGAACATATATAAGTCCAGATAGTCAAGTACAGAAAATCTTTTTTGTTTTTGGAAGTACTGGGAGTCAAACTTGGGATCTTGCATATGCTAGGCAAGCATTCTATCATTGAGCTATATTCCCAGCCAATAAAGAAAAAAGAATAGCACATATTAATAGTATTTGTTTGTAGGTAAAGAAGCAGAGGTAGTTTTGGATTTTACTCCTTATACCTTTTCTCTCTTTTTTTTTATCGATCATGGGGCTTGAACTTTGGGCCTGGGAGCTGCCCCTCAGCTCTTCAGCTCAAGACTAGCATTGCTCTACCACTTGAGCCACAGCGCCACTTCAAGCTTTTTTTGTTTATGTGGTGCTGAGGAATCAAACCCAGGGCCTCATGCATTCAAGGCAAGCATTCTACCACTGAGCCACCTTCCCAGCCCCTTTTCTCTTTTCTTGTTTTCACAGTAAACATGTATTACATTCACATCACAAAATGTTTAAATACGATTCTACCAGCCATAGAACCAAGGAAAATCTCAGTTTCTGCCTCACCCCATATCTTAAACATGACAGTAATTGTTAGAATGCTTGGAATTAAAAGGGGCAAGTATATTACTCCCTCTGGTGATAAAGTAAAGCCTGTGAAACTCAGATTATAACCTTGAGAGCTTCAGAATGTTGTGAGTCAAACCTGCTTAACATAGCTCCCAGGTTCAGACAGAGAAAAACAAGCTCCTGACACAAGCTCTTCTGCTTAAAGAGCGACTAGTATGAGTGATATACATAAACTGAGTTAGGAGAAAACTTACTGCCGTGGATAATCTGGATGCCAATGTCATTTCCAAGTTCCCTTTGAGGCCAAGAAGAGCAGGAACTAAAATGAAAACTTCGGTTACATTTTTGAATACTTCCCAATGCTGTAAAAACATGAAAACAAAAAAGTTAGACAGTCTTTTTTTAATGCTCAAAACAAAGACATTTCTTTAAAAAAATTATTTTTCAAACTTTGCATCCATGTTTTGAAGGATTACACAAGTAACTAGTGAACATTTAGTATCATCTCAATCTCTTGATCTCTGAAGCTCTCTCTTGGCTACTCAAGAAGACTCAGTTGGAGTGACAGTTGCCATTCTACATCCACATGCTACATAAGCCTAAACTCTTTTTCTGTCATGCTGTGGATCAAATCTAGTGCCACATACATGCTAGGCAAGCACTCTGTCACTGAGCTACATCTTTAATACTTGAGGTGTTTGTGTGTGTGTGTGTGTGTGTGTGTGTGTGTGTGTGTGTGTGTGTGTGTGTGTGCCTTGAACTCAAAGCCTGGGCACTATCTCTGAGCTGCTTTTGATCACACTTAGCACTTTACCACTTCAGCTATCAATTCTACTTTTGGCTTTTTGTGATTAATGGAGATAAGGCTTTCTCAGACTTTTCTGCCTGGGCTGACTTCAAACCATGATGTTCATATCTCAGCCTCCTGGGTAGCTAGGATTATAGGCATGAGTCACCAGCACTCAACAGCACTTACTTTTTCTTTTTTTTTTTTTTTTTGAGACAGGGCCTTGCTATATAACTCAGCTGAAATTTACAATGCCCTGCCTGTGTTTCCTTAGTGCTAGGATTACAGGTAGGAACCTCCACTCCCAACTATCACTTTATAAAGGCAACAGTTAATACACCTAGTGGTTAAGAGCACAGGACCTGGAACCAAATCATCTGGATTAGAATCAGTTCCAACACTACTTACAACAATGGCATTAATATTATTACCTCATTTCCTAAATGAAGAAATAAAGATTCAGAAAGGTTAAATGACATTCCCAAAGTCAAAAGAAAGGACTTAAGGCTAGGTGGTGGTACATACCTGAATTCCAGGTACTCAGAAACCAGAGATTGGAGGATTTAAGTTCAAGGACATCTTAAGCAAAAAATTGGTGAGACTCCATCGTAACTAATCAAAAGCTGGGTATGGTGTCCTGTGCCTGTCATCCCAGCTACATGGCCCACAAAAGAGAAACTTTATCCCCAAAATAAATAAAGAATAAAGGGTGGCAGTATGGCTCAAGTGGTAGAGCACTTACCCAGCAAATGTAAGTAAGGCCCTGAATTCAAACCCCAGGACTTAGAGTTGACCTCAGGAATTCTAAATAGGCCCATGTTCTGGTTCCTATTTTAGGGCTAAGAGGGTACTGAATACAGGATAATGAAAATAACTCCAAACTGGAAATCAAATGTGTGCCTTTAGGCATAAACCTGAGCCTACCCAGCAAGGCAATCCAGCTTATCTTTCAGATCTTAATGTCCTTGTTTATAAAATGAAGATAATATCTGCCAAGTCTAGCCATCAGAGGTATAACAACGAGAGTACGCTATGAATTGAAAGAGTATAGTAATATCTTAATAACACAAATGATTTTTAACAAATGATAAGAAGAGGTGATTGTCTCAGTAAGAAATTTTATGAACATACTACCTTCATGCCAAAAAAGTAACAAGAGTATATATCTAGTCACTAACACCAAGACAGGTGAGAAAAAAAAATCTGTTTTTTCTAAAACAACTTGTTTCAAAGAAATACTTTGGAAATGCTTATCAGAACAATCTTTTTTAAAGTCTTGCTATGAAGCTGGGTGCCAGTGGCTCACACCTGTAATCCTAGCTACTCAGGAGGCTGAGATCTGAGGATCTCGGTTCAAAGACAGTCAGGGCAGGAAAGTCCATGAGACTCTTATCTCCAATAAACCACTAGAAAACTGAAGTGGTGCTGTGGCTCAATTGGTAGAATGCTTGCCTTGAGCTGAAGAGATGAGGGATAGTGCTCAGGCCCAGAGTTCAAGCCCCACACAGACCAAAAAAAAAAAATTTGTTATGGCCAGGTGCCAGTAGCTCACACCTATAATCCTAGCTACTCAGGAGGCTGAGATCTGAGGATCACTGTTCAAAGCCAGCCTGGGCAGGAAACTCTGTGAGACTCTTATCTCCAATTAACCACCAGAAAACTGGAAGTGGCACGGTGGCTCTAGTGGTAGAGTGCTGGCCTTGAGCTGAAGAGTTCAGGGACAGTGCCCAGGCCCAGAGTTCAAGCCCCAAGACTGACCAAAAAAAAAAAAAAAAAAAAAATCTTCCTATGAAGAATTCACAAAGGAAATCCCTCCAAGGTTCATCTCAACTAAGGATGTACCTTACAAGATATCTGAGAATGCCAGGCATAGTTGCCATATTTGTAATCCAGGCAACATAGAAAGTGAAGATGGAAAGATCTTGGTTAGAAGACAGCCCAATATGTAGAGATGATAGGGATGATGATGATGATGATGATGATGATGGATGCAAGTGTAATAAAAGCTAACTATCTCTAACTCTCACTCTCACTGATTGCCTTGGGCAGTTTCTTTAGATCTAGTTCAGTTAATATTCACAATGAACCTAGGAGATATGTAGTATTTTTAAAATTAAATCCCAGACATAATTCATGAAAATATTTTACCTGTTACCAGTTTAAGACACTTACATGATTCAACTTTAGAAGCATGAGCTCAGCCATGTATAATGGCTCATGACACCTGTCTTAAATGTTATAAATATGCTCTCCAAGAATCACTGGAGTCACAACAATAGACACACACACACACAAAAATTGTCTCCGCAAGGCAAAATTTACTTCTACAGAAGGGTCGCAATCAGCCAAAAATCTGGCAAGCAAGCACAAAGAGCAGGCAGGCAGGCTGCCCCTACCCATCCCCATTTATCTCTAATACAATAAGCTCTGCTCCTTTGCTCAGATTGGTTGAGCTCAGGTTCACAAAATCTACTCATGATTAGTTAGTTAGAATAGGGTAAAATAAATTTATACATACTGACTTTGAAATAAGGTTAACAGTATACAAGTAATCTTAAAATATATCCACACCCTCTGCTACTTCTTGAACAGTCTGGGGCCTGTCTTAATTCCATCTTGAAAAGAAACCAGTTTAAAACAAAACCTTGCCAGGCCGTGGCTCACACCTGTAATCCTAGCTACTCAAGAGGTTGAGATCTGAGAATCACAGTTTGAAGCCAGCCCCAGCAGGAAAGCAGGAAAGACTCATCTCCAATTAATTACAGAAAAAGCTGGAAGTGGTGCTGTGGCTCAAGTGGTAGAGCACTTGCCTTGGGCAAATGAAGCTCAGGGACAGCTGCCCAGGCCCAGAGTTCAAGCCACAGGACAAGAAAAAAATCCTTCCTTATCCCAAAGCAATTCCTCTTTTCCTAACAAGAGCTAAGCCACCAAGTCAAAGCAATATACTTCGATAGAAAAGACAGTTTTTCTCACATAAGGGATAATTTAATAATGAAAGAAACTGGAAATCTAGTGAAAAGAAAAAGCATAAACCACCACTTTACCCTCTATTCAGAAATAATAATAGTTCCTCCAGTTTGGCAAAAAATGAAAAAGATCAAGAATATCCAGTGTTAAGCTAGAGTGTTAAGCTAGGTGCCAGTAGTTCAAGCCTGTAATCCTAGCTACTCAGGAGGCTGAGATCTGGGGATCAGAGTTAGAAACAAGCTTGGACAGGACATTCAGGAGACTCTTATTTCTAACTAACCAGCAAAAGCCTAGAGAGGGAGTTACGGTTTAAGTAGTAGAGCTCAATCCTTGAGCAAAGAAGCTAAGGGACATCACCCAGATCCTGAATTCAAACTCCAATACTGGAAATAAATATTCATATTCTAATGCCCAGACATTTCATGTTTTTAATCTATGAAACTGTGAAAATAACAGTTAAATATATAAAGCTATGCTTAAAAGGATATCTATTAGAACACCAATGAGAATAATGAATTTTGGTATATACATACAATGTAGTATCAAACACTCATTTTAAATTCTAAAAACCTTTACAGAACTGGAGATGTAGCTCAGTGGCCGAACACTTGTTTAACATGCACCAAGCCTGGAGTCTAGACCTGACTCCACAAAAATAAAAAATGTTTGGGATTCAAAACCTCTATAAAGCATTTTGATCAGAAATGAAATGATAAAAAGACAGTGCAGTTAAAGGTATAAACTCACCTGAACTATATCCAAAACCATGCCAGCCGAAACTGTGCCAAAACCAGCTAGCAAAAATGGCACAAGAATCTGCAATGCCATGATGCCACTGGATTCCTTTGGCAATTTGGGAGTTGTTTCCACAATGACATCTTCACCACCCTCACTAGACAGATCTTCCTCCTGTAACATGGCAGTACTTTCAGAAGCCTCCCTTCCATCACAGTAATTGTAGTTGGCATAGTCGTCATACTTCTGGTTACAGCTTGAAGGTGTATGCCCATTATTGCCATGGTAAGACTGCTCAGAGAAACTGTGATACTCCATGTGCTGCTCAGATCTGTTACTCAAAGTTGGTGCTGCATTTGATAATCCATCTTGCCAAATGCCATTTGTTCTTTTGTGCCTATCTTCCTGGTTTTTCTGGTAAATTACTGGGACCATACTCAACACTAAGTTTAAGAACTTATCAGACTGAATTGTATTTAAGTTTAAAGTCCAATCTACCAAACTTCCTCCGCTACTTGGACCATCACTTGTTTTATTAGTAATAGATTTTCCTTTGCTATTAGTCATATTGTCATCACTGAAATCCCCGTATTATCAGATCTCAAGCTTCGTGAACCATTGCAGATGAGTCAGAACCATGCAAACACTTGCTTAAATAAAGTTGTTGACTTCATTGTACAGAAAATGACTCCACTACTAAAAGATGTTTATAAGCTCCACAGATGGATTGGATCTGTAAAAAATAAATTAATTAATTAAAATTTTAAACTCAGACTAAGTGGACTGGGAATTTAGCTCAATAGTAGAACATTGGCCTGGCATGTACAAGGCCCTTCTGAGCCAGCACACACACACACAAATCAGATTGACCATCACTATACTTAGATTTTCATTGCTAAAAGTACAAACTGTGCTTAAAACTAACCCTAAGGTAGCATTATAGACACTATATTATGTGGCCTTGAAGCTGAACTGTTTTGTGCCATGCAACTATTATGGGTGCAGAATTTTTTTGTGTGTGTGATCAATCTTGTACAAAAGTGTTTATCATATTTGCAAACTTTAATATGCACTTAAGATCTTCTGAAATAAGAATTTATGAAATAAAATGATGGCTTCTATCAGCATAAAGGGGACTCAGAATCAAACTGTACCCTTCATTTATATATGTCACTAAGCAACAAAATCCAGTAAAGCAGGCTCTGTGACATGTTAATTGAAACTTCTTTGTATAACTATTTTTCAAATTAGACAAGTTGATATATTAGGGATATATCAATTCATACAACTAAATTTATACAACTACTTAAAGATAATTGTGTTTGGGGTTTTTTGTTTGTGTTTTTTGGTATGTCAGTGATGGGGCTTGAACTCTGGGCCTGAGCACTATCCCTCAGCTATTCAGCTCAAGGCTAGTGTTCTACCACTTGAGTAACAGCACAACTTCCAATTTTCTGATGGTTTATTGGAGACAAGAGCCTCACAGACTTTCCTGCCCTGGCTGGCTTTGAACCCCAATCCTCAGATCTCAGCCTCCTGAGTAGCTAGGATTACAGATGTGAGCCACTGGCGCCTGTCTTCAAGATATTTTTAAGTGAGTGCCAGTAGAGATATTTATGCTACTCTTCAGTTACTTGGGAGGTTATAGTAGTCTAATATTCCCATTAAGAACCAGTGTCTTCAAAACTTCAATATAATGGCTTGTATTTAAATTCTGAACTTCATCAGTCATAATGCTTCTTACCTGTAATCCCAACAGTCAAGAGGCTGGGTCAGGTAAGATTATAAATTCAAGGCCAGACTTGGCCCCCCGACACACACACAATTCTGAACTCTGTATAAATTATAATAAATCTTTAGGGAAAAGGAGCTCATTACTTTTTTCATTAAGGGCCAGTATTTGCATATGATTGAAAGATTTTTTGTGTTTTTTTTAAAGAATGTTAACAGGTATGGGACATACAAAGGCTAAAATCATGGCTAGTGAGTTCATCTACCCTCTAGTTTATTCCAGCAGTACTCACAATAGACAAGATATGCAAGCAACATAAATGTTTTCCAGTAGAGATGGATGGGTAAAGAAAATATGGCCTTCTGGGCACTGTTGGCTTACACCTGTAATCCTAGCTACTCAGGAGGCTGAGATCTGAGAATCATAGTTTAAAGACAGTGAGGGTAAAAAAGTCCATGAGACTCATCTCCAATTAACCAACAGAAAACTGGAAGTGGCCTTGTGACACAAAGTGGTAGAATGCCAGCCTTGAGCAAAAAAGTTCAAGGGAAGTACCCAGGCCCTGAGTTCAAACCCCATGCCCATCCCATGATCAACAGTGACAAAGAGAGAGAGAGAGAGAGAGAGAGAGGGAGGGAGGGAGGGAGGGAGGGAGGGAGGGAGGGAGGGAGGGAGGGAGGAAGGAAGGAAGGAAGGAAGGAAGGAAGGAAGGAAGGAAGGAAGGAAGGAAGGAAGAGAGAAAGAGGAAAGCAAGAAGGAAGGGAGGGAAAACGGAAAGAAAATTTGGCCTATGTATACATTGGAATAGTATTTCAATGCCCATCAAAGAATAAAATCCTCCCATCCTCCCATTCAGGATGAACCATCATCCTGAGTTGTTAGGATTATAGGCATGCGCCACTGCATCTAACCAAATAAAACTCTGTAGACACTGTGTAAATGGTTTTCTTGCTTTATTAAAAATTGTAAGTTATTTTGGATAATTCACAATAAATATTCAATTGTATAATAGGTTCATAAAGATGAGGATTATACCAAAGTAATTTGCAATTACGGTTCTCAACAGCAGGATGGCTCTGTGGCTGCTTCATTTTCTTCAACTACTTTCATTTAAAAATAAAAATGAGTACCTCCTGCTCTTGCCTTCTTATCTCCTCCTTTCCTCCTTCCTCCCTTTCTTTCTTTCTTTCTTTCTTTCTTTCTTTCTTTCTTTCTTTCTTTCTTTCTTTCTTTTCTTCCCTTTTCTGTTTTCTCTCCCTCCCTCCCTCCCTCCCTCCCTTCCTTCCTTCCTTGCTTTCCTTCCTTCCTTCCTTCTTTTTTGTGTTGTACTGGGGATCAACCCCAGGACCTATACCTTCTACAGAAGTATCTACCTCTGAACTATATCCCCCACCCCTTTATTTCCATCAACTCTCTTTTATAACTTTCCTGTTTCTACACTTTCTAACATACTGTTCGTAATCACCTCACTGAAATATCAGAGCAAATCTATGCCACTTAAAAAAAATCTACCCATATTAATGAAGAACTAAGAATACAGGAAGGAATAGCCAAAATTATATAACCAAACAGTCAATAACTGTCTTATTTTCAATTTAAAATAAATAACTGTCTTATTTTCAATTTAAAATATAGCTTTCAAGTTAAAAGTATGTAGTTTGTCTCCTACTGCCAATTCATGTGCAATAGAGATGATCACATGAAATGTGATATTTAATTTATCTCTGGCTCTCAAAAATTAAAACTCAAGATGGGGTCTAGCCATGGTGCCACACACCTGAAATCCCAACTACTGGAGAGGCTGAGGTAAGAGAATTAAGAGTTCAAGGCCAGCTTGAGCAATTCTGTGAGATTTCCTAAAATTAAAAAAAAATGTATGTTTGTATTAAATACACACACACACACACCATATGGAAACATAAAAGAAGTCTCCAGCATTCAAAATGTACCATAGTTGTTTCACTGAGGTGTTAGAAATGACTACTGGAGGTAGGGGTGCATAGATCTCTTTTGCTTCCCCAAAACAAAGATCCATGCCCAAGCAACAATTCTAAGAAATAGGATGAGCTCAGTAAGAGTAGTGTGGATTTTATAAGGTATAAGGATGAATATAAGCAGGGGAGTATAGTGATTTATATATGTTTGCAATTTTATCATAGTTTAGCTATTTAAAGTACTTGGAAATTGAAATATAAGAAATATTACTCCACAGGGCTGGGAATGTGGCTCAGTGGTAGAGTGCTTGCCTTGCATGCATGAGGTCCTGGGTTCGATTCCTCAGCACCACATAAGCAAAAAGGAAAAAGCCAGAAGTGGCACTGTGGCTCAAGTGGTAGAGCCCTAGCCTTGAGCTGAAGAGCTGAGGGACAGCGCCCAGGCCCAGAGTTCAGGCCCCACAACCGGACCCCCCCCCCCCAAAAAAAAGAAAGAAATATTACTCCACAAACACTTGGTTAAACGTTTACTTCTAAAGTAGACGATAAATATCTTCCTTTGGAGGGAAAGGGGCTGAACAGAGTTAGTTTTCTAAGAAAAATGTTGACTTTGTTGGCTGAAACTGACAATTTCCTACCTAAACTGAGTCCAGGAACTCAAAGCTTTAAGTTTCACTTAAATAGCAATTAGTGATACCTGACTTTATTGAGAAGTTGGAGCAAATTCTCTAAGAGTAAGAAGCCAGCTAGCCATCATATGAGACTAAATTGCCATAAAACTGGTGTTCTGGGCATTCTCTACAGAAAAACAGAAACTTGAGAACCCACAGGCGTGGTTTGGCTACTCATAATGGAAAGCTAGCTACTGCCATAAAACAATCATTCGTTTCCAAGGTTGCATGTTGTAAACTGTCATAAAATTGATCAACCCTAAGGTTTATGTATAGCTAAAGAGATAGGCTAACATTTATAAATAATTCATTTAAGCCTAAAAAATAATGATAACGATAATAATTTTTGTATATCTTCACTATATCTCATAAATTTTCAAATGACAAAAGACTTAGAGCAACTGATTTTGTTCTCAGAAGCACAACTTCCAATCCCCACCTCAGCAAAAATTAGCAAGATATTTTTTAAAGAAGCTTTATTTGGAAGAAAGATACATCCAAAAGAACCTAAAGCCCTATAGTCAAAGCTACTCAGGAAGCTAAGACAGGAAGATTTCTTAAGTCTAGGAGTTTAAAACCAGCCTGAACTATCTCAGACACAAAAAATTCCTAACATTCAGGAGGTTGAAGTAGGAAGATGTGGGTTTGAGGACAATCTTAACAATAATGTGAGTGAGTCCAAGGCCAGACTGGGCTATTATATAATAAAACCCTGCTTTAAAAAAAAAAGAGGGCTGGAACATATTTATATGATGATTTCTTCGTTGCTTTGTATGTACCTCCTCCAGGGTATAAGCCCTGCTTTCACTGTATTTGTTGTTGATATATTTGTGGAGAGAAAGGGAAAAAACAAACTATTTAAATAGGGTTACAGGTGGACCCATTACAACAAGGAGATGTACAAGACATTTTGTCAAAAAACAAACTTTACAACTTTGGCAGGATGGGAGGTGGGAGGGGGTGGGAGGGTGGGGGAGTGGGAAGGTGGAGAGGAGAGGGGATGGTATGGAGAAACAAAGGAGGAGGCAACAACGATTGATAAGGAATGTACTCACTATTTTACCCATGTAATTGTAACCCCTCTGTATGGTATTTTCACGATAATAAAAAAATAAAAATAAACATTTTTTTTAAAAAATTAAAAAAAAAAAAAAAAAAAAAGAGGGCTGGGAATGTGGCTTAGTAGTAGAGTGCTTGCCTAGCATGCATGGGTTCAATTCCTCAGCAGCACATAAACAGAAAAAGCCAGAAGTGGAGCTGTGGCTCAAGTGGTAAACTGCTAGTTTTGAGTACAAGAAGCTGGAGGACAGTTCCTAGACCCTGAGTTCAAGCCTCAGGACTGGAAGAAAAAAAAAAAGAGTACAAAGTAATGAAGGCAATAGAGCAACTAAATTAA